TTCAGATTCATTTTGATGCAAATGGATTTCCAGTTTTCCCAGCACCATTTGTTGAAGATGCTATCCTTCCTCCATTGCATGCTTTTAGACCCTTTATCAAATATAAGATAGTTGTAGTTTTGTGGGTTGGTTACTGTGTCCTCTATTCTGTACCAACATTTTTTTTTAATATATTTTCAGTTGTGGGTGAACATAGTACCTTTATTTTTTAAAAGTATTTTTTAGTTTTTTGTAAGTGGACACAATATCTTTTTTTACATTTATGTGGTGCTGAGGATCGAACCCAGCACCTCAAGCATGCTAGGCGAGCACTCTGCCACTGAGCCACAGCCCCAGGCCCCAGCTAGAACATTTTTATGACCCTAAAAAGGAGCCCCATACCTTAACCATCTAGTATCTTAAATAGAAATATGAAGTGGAGAAGGGGTATAGCATTATGGGTTGGCATCAAGAGTTGCAGAAGGGCAGGGGATGTAGCTCAGTGGTAAAGCACCTCTGGGTTCAATTCCCAATAGCAAATGAAATTTTTTTAGAAATGTAAAATGAGTTTCTTTACTATCTCATTGAATCCTAAGTGGTTTGCAGCTGAATTGATTGTATTTTAATGGTCTGCAGAATATAAGTCAGTTCTTATTTTGAGGGCTAAAGTACAAGATTTTGGTCTGAGGGCACTGCCAGGTAACAGAAACTACATAGAATTTGCTTCCAGGAAAGTTGTGAATTTGATGGTGAGAAAAAAGTACTCCTCTTGGTTAAAACATTCTATATTTAAAGATCTAGGAGAAGTAGACYTGGCTGGTAGGGTAATCTTTGTGAAAACGCTGTCATCTTAATCTTATTCTCAGTTTATTTTGATGACATTATCTTATTTAACTCCCACAGGTAAGTGACAGAGTCCTTATTTTGCAAATGAGGAAATAAAGCTTAGAGAAATGAAGTCACTTGTGTAATGTCACAGGACTAATAAGGGGCAAACTAGTACTCTTACTCCAAAACCTATGTTTTCAACCAAATTATTGTTCTGTATCCCAGCCATGTCACACCTAGGACATTAGTGGTCTTGAGGAATTTTTACACTGAAGGACCTAGTTTTTTATAGGAGGGATAGTGGGAAATTGACTATTTAAAGATCATTTTTATTTTTTTTTTAACTAGCAAGATAGGGTATATTTCTCTTCTGCCCAAAGTGACATTTCTAAAAGGGAGGTACATGAATGTATGTAATGAATTTATTATGATAATAAAGTATTGTTATCCATTGTTCAAAACACAGAGGTGCTGGATGGCACGTTGAACACAGTGTCTGCATCTAGGACCTGGGGCTTGAAAGGGTCCCTGGAGCCAGGAGTGTTGGGGAATACTGGACGTATCTGCCAGGCCATGGAGAAGACAGAGCTTTCACAAACTGAGATGAAAATGAGATTTCCACTTAGCACCTTGGTTTTAGTATCTGGGTAATGTTTTTATTGTTTTCCTAATTTTCAAGGGAAAAACTTACTTTTATTTTATTTTCTCAGGTCTGCCCAGAACAATATGACAAAGGCAGTAGATGCATTTAGTAAGTATTTTCTGTGTCTGAAATTCAAGAACTGTTCAGGAGCACCTTCAGCGTTTGCCTTTCCCCTTTCCCTGGTAACTTTGGATTGACGATCCCTCAGTATTTTCATTTTTCCAGGTATGCAGCTTCAGCGTACATTAGTCTTTTCATAAAGGTCTAACGTGGCAGGTGTGTGAATGATTATATGACTGCCCACCTGAGCCAGGTGTGTGTGGAGGCTGCAGAGCACTCGGGTTCACCAGCTGCGGGGAGTTCTCTAGGAGTTCCCAGGGAGGTGGGATGGACTGTTTGCCACTCCTTGGAGCAGAACAGTGGCTCCCGCAATCTGGGAGTTGTAAGGACAGTCACTCTCATCCCCTGAGAGTTCTTCCTGGCTACGGGCTGCTGAACTCCGTGTGCTTTCCCTTCTGTAATCTCAAATGTTCTATAACATGCAGCTCGTTTTCTATATTTTAGAGAAAAGAAAACTGAGACTTAGAGAAATTTAATAATTTGCTCAAGACTAACCAGCTAGTCAGTGGGTACTGCACTGGGATTTGGACCCATACTGCCAGGCAGAGCCAGTGATTCTCATAATGGATGCCTTTTTTGGTTTCTTCAGAAGCAAGTAAGCATCCGACTTCAATTCTGCCCCTGGCTCTTCTCAGCTTCTCTGTTTCCCCAGCAGGAGAATCTCAAGAGTGCCAGTTCCTCTCCATAGGGAGCAGCCCACTATAGGCCATGGGGTCTCGTGACATAGACCCTGCAGCTCTTAAGTGTTTACAATTTTTTTCACTGGTTGTCTTGAATATGGCAAATTCTTGATCTGATCATCTGTGGCTGGCTCAGATGAGTTAAAGCATGCTTTTGACCAAGAGTAGCCTATATTTGGAAAGGGCCTTGTGGACRGGGGAGGTGGCGTTGCGTATGGAGTGTATCATTAGAATGGTTTTATCAGGCTTGTTTTATGCACCTTCAGGAATGCATTCATAATTATAAATTAGGCTACATATGTAATTAAATGAGRCATAGCCTGGTTGTCCTACAGGATGGGAGGTCACCACCATGCGAAGTCCGCCTTTCACTCTTGAAGGTCTAGAGACTTGTCTGTCAGAAGAATCTTTTTTGTGTGTGTGGTGCTGGGGATTGAACCCAGGGCCTTGTGCATGAGAAGCAAGCACTCTACCAACTGAGCTATATCCCCAGCCCCAAGAACTGTTACTGATCAGAGGAATCAGAAGGGAAAGGACTCAGGTTAGGCAAACTCACAGAAAGTGCCATTTACCAGTCGATGAAGACTGTTGATGTTTTTAGTAGGCCCTTTCGGGGCATCCCTTCTTCCCAGGGCCCTAGAAAGCCATGCTGGCTTACATGGTGAGCAGGTGAGCATGTAGATAAGAAAGGGTGGTGATGACTATTGGATGCAGCCTCCCTGCTCCTAAACACAGAAGCCCTCTGTTGGCTCTTGATGGTTGGCCAGATTCAGGCTTTGTCTCAGCTCTTTCTCCAAAATGAGGAACTAACATCTGGGGCCATGTGTGTTACATCATGGAGCTATTGTTTATGTGGTAGTGCCCGGTTGTGAAAGAATGGATATTGAAATATGGAGAAACAGGGCAGCATCCAAAGGTGAGCACCCAGGATTGTTGGGAAGCACATTGAGAGGATGGTTCCTGGGTCCTTAGGGCAGTGTGAATCATGAGGTGCCACAGGAGAAAGAAGGTTTAAGTAATCTTCTATGGTCATTCATGACACTCCTCCACTTGGTGCTCTGAAGGAGGCTGTGCAAAGAAGGTTCCTACTTATCATCCAAAAGCACTCAATTCCTGAACTGAATGTAAGTGTAATGSGATTCTAGAACATTTGGTGCAACTGTATTTTTTGCTCTTGACTAAATCATGCTAAAGTTCTTCTGTTAGAATAAATATCTGAAAACAGCTGAGAGAGTCAGAAGTGAGAGACTTACCCTGATTAACTCTAAAACTATTATGAATTAATTTGAAAACAGGGAACTAGAAGGCTAGTGGAACAGTCTAGACTCAATTCCACCCCCAAATAGTGATACAGATTCAGTAAAAGTAGGTCTCAGGCAAGTTCAGGCAGTTGACTGTAGGAAAATACAGGAATCTATGCTCACCTTATACCAATTGAAGACTGAATTTGAAAAGCAAACCATGAAAGTAATTGAAGAAAATAATTGGGTAGAGAATAGCCTTGTAAGCAGATAAACCAAACAATAAAGGGGAAATATATATATATGTATAGTCAGTGGGTCTTTTATGTATTTAAATGCAGTGCTGAGTTTCAAACCCAGGGCTTCACACATGCTAGGCAAGTACTCTACCACTGAGCCCCAGCCCCAGCCCAAAAGACTTGGTTTTTTGTTAATAAAATGCTAAACTGCAGTCCATCAACATAACCTAAGAGGCAAGGAAGTGCTTGCAGGATGTGGTGCAGAGCTGTTAGGAACTGTGGAGAAAGGCCCAAGTGCTCCATTAGAGCTGGTCGTAGCTTGACCACAAGAAGGGCAAATCGAAACTTTTTATTGAGTTTCAAAGAGATCATTCTTGCTGGGCATGGTGGTGCATGCCTGTAATCCCAGTTGCTCAGGAGGCAGGAAGTTCAAAGCCAGCCTCAGCAATAGCAAGGCACTAAGCAACTTAGCGAGACTCTCTAAATAAAATATAAAATAAGGGCTGGGGATGTGGCTCAGTGGTCTAGTGCCTCACTGAGTTCAATCCATGGTAAGGACACCCCATCCCACCTCCACACACAAAATAAGGAGATTATTCTCAGTGTTGTGGGAGATGGGCACTTGCATGCTAATGAGGATGGGTGCTTATATCACTTTAGGAAAAGTGATTTGTCAGTAAGTATCAAGCCTTAAAAACGTTTATACCTTTGCCCATTGGAATAACTCATTCCACTAAGCAATTATCTTTAGGAAATATTAAAAATAAATGATCTCTACAAATTTTCAAAAATATTTATTCKATTATGTGAAAAAAATTAGAAATAATGTAAATAGTAAGTTTAACTCTTGTTTAAAAAGAGCATAGAAAATCTGGAAAAAGAGTCATTAGGTGTCACTTTTTTAAATAGAGTAGCTTGCCAGGTTTGGTGGCGAATGCCAGTGGCTGAGGAGGCTGAGGTAGGAGGAGCACAAATCTCAGGACTGCCTCTACAATTTAGCGATACCCTGTCTGAAAAATAAAAAGGGCTGGGATGTGGCTCAGTGGTAGAGCACCCCTGGGTCCAATCCCCAGTATGAGATTGGGAGGTCTAAAAACTTACGTGGTGAAGAAGAAAAAAGAAGAAGAAGAATCCCTATCCCCATTAGCAGTCATTTCTCCTTCCCAGCCGTCTCCCCATCCATAGCCCTGGGCAGACATTGATTACCTTCAGTCTGTAGGTTGCTGTTTTAGACATTTCATGTACTTGAAATGCTACACTGTGTGTCTTTTGTGACTTGTTTCTTCTACTTCGCTGTCCATGTTGCAGCACATTCCAAAATGTGACTTTCTGTTCATCAGGTAACATGAATAATGCTGCTATGAATGTTTGTGTAGCTTTGGTGTGGATGGATGTTTTCTAATTTCTTGCAGTAGTGAAGTCCTGCTCATGTGGTCTCCTGAAACTCACCTGTGTAGGAATTGCCAGATTGTCCCTTCTTACATTCCCACCAGCAGTGAATGAGAGAGCCAGGTTTTCCACATTCTTGCAACTATTTCCTGTTTTTTAACTAAGCTCTCCTAGTGGTGTGGAGTGATAGCTCATTATGGTTTTGATTTGCACCATCATTTGGCTAATGATGTTGAGCATATTTTCACATGCTTTTTAGGGCATTTGTATATATCTTTCTTGGGAGAAATGTCTACTYAGTTCTTTTGCCATTTTTAAATCGGGTTGTCTATTACTGAGTTGTGAGAATGCTTTATATATTCTAGTTAAAAGTGTCTCGTATGTATGATTTGCAAGTAATTTTTACCATGGTGTGGATTTTCATTTTCTTGATAGTATGTTTTGAAGCACAAAAGTTTTAGATTTTTTCTTCTAGTTTTATTGGGGTATATTTGATAAATTAAAAATTAATTAATGTATATGTGTGGCATACAGTGTGTTTTCTTATATGTTGTGAAATTGATAACAATCAAGGTAATCAACATGTCTATCACCTAGTGTAATTATCACATTATTTTGTATGTGTTTGATGAGAATTTTTGGCATCTACTCTCTTAGCAAATTTCAAGTATACAGTACTGTTAACGGAGGTCACCAAGTTGTACCTTAGCTTACCAGAAGCTTACTCATCCTGCTTAATTGGAACCCAATACTATTTATTTAGTTAGTTAGTTTTGTACTGGGGATTTAACCCATGGGAGCTAAACCACTGAGCCATATCCCCAGCCCTTTTTAGTTTTTATTTGGGGACAAGATCTTGCCAAGCTGCTCAGACTTGCTAAGTTGCTGGGGCTGGCTTTGAACTCAGGATCCTTCTGGCTCAGCCTCCCAAACTGATGGGGTCACAGGCATGGCCAACACGCCTGACCTCATACTCTTTAATTAGCAGCTTTTCGTTTTCTCCTACCCAATCAGCCATGGACAAAAAAAGACTCCACGTATAAGTGGGACCACACGGTGTTTGTCTTTCTGCATCTGGATTGTTTCCCTTAGTATAGTATCTTACGGTTCAACTGTGTTGTCTCGTGTCAGGGTGTCCTTTTTTAAGGCTGCCTGGTAATCTAGTGTCTGTATTTTCTACTTGGTTGTTTCGGCGTGTTGGCTGTTGTGAGTGACACTGCAGTGAACGTGGATGCAGATGTTTCTTCAAGATGCTGATTTCATCTCCTTTGGGTATATACCAGGAAGTGGGATGGCTGGGTCATATGGTGGTTCTCTTTTTAACTTTTTTTTTTTTTATTTTTTTTTATTTTTAGGTGGACATGATGTCTTTATTTTTATGTGGTGCTGAAAATCGAACCCAGTGCCTCACACACGCCAGGCGAGTGTGCTGCCACTTGAGCCACATCCCCAGCCCCTCTTTTTAATTTTTTGAGGAACCTCCATGCTGTTTTCCATAATGGCTATGCTAATTTACCCTCCCAGCATAAATTTTTTTTTTATTGGTTGTTCAAAACATTACAAAGCTCTTGACATATCATCTTTCATACATTTGATTCAAGTGGGTTATGAACTCCCATTTTTACCCCAAATACAAATTGCAGAATCACATCGTTTACACATTCACATTTTTACATAATGCTATATTAGTGACTGTTGTATTCTGCTACCTTTCCTATCCCCTACTATCCCCCCTCCCCTCCCCTCCCAAGTGTGCCCTTTTCTCCACATCCTTTCCAGCATTTGTTATTTTTTAATAATAGCCATGGTTAGCAGGTGTGAGGTGATATTATGGTTTTGATTWAAAAAAAAAATTTACTAGGGGCTGGGGTTGTGGCTCAGTGGTAGAGCACTTACCTAGCATGTGTGAGGCATTGGGTTCGATCCTTAGTACCACATAAAATAAATGAATAAAATGAAGGTATTGTGAGACCATCTACAACTCAAAAATATTTTTTTWAAAAATAGCTTCAAAGTTTTTTTTCTTTTATTATATGTGTTTTTGGTGTCCTAAGAAATTTTTGCCTGATTTTGGTCATGAAAGTTTATTCCTAAGTTTTCTTCTAAGAGTTTTATCGTTTTTTCATTTAGGTCTGGCCTCCATTTTGAGTTCTTTGTGAGTGGTGCAGTGTCATTCCTTTGCATGTGAATATCTAGTTATTCTCCCCCGGCCCCCCTCCTCTGAGTTACGCTGCTGCCTCTGTTGAAAATGAGTGTRGATGTAAGGACTTATCTGGATATGTGCCTCTGTCCCTGTGCCAGTGCCGTGCTGTGTTCCTTGCTGTGCATTTGGGAGTGGAGGTCTTCTAGTTTGGTTCTTTTTCGAGATTGTTTTGGCTTTTGTGTTTCCCTTGAATTTCTATATAAATTTTAGGATCAGTTCATCAGTTTCTGCAAATAGATTATTTGTTTGTGTGGTTTGGGGAGTAGGCTTAGGTTTGTTACAAAATCGAACAGAAAGTATAGTTTTCAACCCCCATCCCCACACATGCATAGCTTCCCCCATTATTGGCTCCCACTAGAGTGGTATATTTGTTATAAAAAATGAACCTACACTGACATATTATCACTCAAAGACCATGGTTACAGTAGGGCTAATTTTGGTGTACATTCTGTGTGTACCCATTATCATAGTATCACACTACATAATATGTTAGAATTTCTGCTTGTTAACTAAATCTTCTGATTATTTTAAGTGAATATGCTTTGCTAGTGTTTTTCTTTCTTTCTTTCTTTTTTATTGTTTTAATGCTGGGCATGGTGGCATAGGCCTGGCATCCTAGCTACTCAGGAAGCTGAGGCAGGAGATTGTGAGTTCCAGGTTAGCCTCGGCAACTTAAATGGGACCATGTCTCAAAATAAAATTTAAAAAATGGCCTGGGGGGGCTGGGGATGTGGCTCAAGCGGTAGCGCACTCGCCTGGCATGCGTGGGGCCCGGGTTCGATCCTCAGCACCACATACCAACAAAGATGTGTCCGCCGAGAACTAAAAAATAAATATTAAAAATTCTCTCTCTCTCTCTCTCTCTCTCCTCTCTCACTCTCTCTTTAAAAAAAAAAAAAAATGGCCTGGGGATATAGCTTAGTGGTAGACTTACTTGCTTAAAATGCATGAAGCCCTGGATTTGATCCCCAGTAACACCCTCCTCCCCCCAAAAAAAATGTTGTTTTAAACCTTATTTTGATTATGTATTTTCTCCTGGAAATACTTGAAAATGATTGATTAAAATTTCTTATCACACCGATCCTGACCATATTCCAGTACTCCTGCAGTATCCTTTCAGTGTGTCTAGTACTTCTTCACATATGCTCAGGACATAAGGTATTTCTTTTTTTTTTTTTCCCTCTTTTTTTGGGACATAAGGTATTTCTGATTGCTTTTATTCTCACCCTGACACACAAGGATTCAGGACAGTGTGGTTATTGTAAGTTGTAAGTTGGGTGGACATTGCACAGCTCTTGGTTATTGATGGAAAGCTACTAAGTACTCCTGAATGTTCTTCTTTTCAGAGAAGTCTCTCAAGTTGTGTGTCACCAAGGAGATGCTCCTTCTCAGTGTCACTACTGCTTACACAGGTAAAGGAACTGCTGCTTCACTTTGCTTTGTTTGTGTAATGACTATAAGGACTGAAAACAGAAGCCATGCAGTTTTTTCTCAGACTTCTGTACTTTGGCTGTGCTTAGCAGGGTGACTTTTCTGATGACATCGATGGCTTGGGGTCCCCTGTGGCTGCTTTCAGAGGATGGCTGGGGATAGGCCTTCCAAGACCAGTTTCATTTGCATGTGTAGTGCTTTGCCAGGGTCAGTGAGAGATGGTGTTGGGCAGTCTGTCTCCCTGTCGTGTCAGGGCCTGTCCATCTGCATGACCCCCTCCATAGGACCTTGTAGTGTGGCAGGAGAGCCAGACTTACTAGTGGCCAAAGGCCCCAAAAACACATCAGGGAAGACTAGCAAACCTTCCCGTAGGTCTCCAGCATTACTTCCAGTACATTCTCTTGGTGACAACAAATCACAAGGCCAACCCAAATTCAGTGTGGAAGGCTTCCGCACGGGGGCAGGAAAGCCAGGACTCAGAGTTCATCAGCACCAACCACTCTAAGGCAGGGGGCGCATGACAGAAAACAGCCAGGAGAAAACCTCTAGCTTATGTGCACTAAGATCCCTTTAAATGAAATAGAAGCAGTGGTGATGTGGTGTGTCCCATGTGGAGCACTCTTAGGTCTTCAGGACAATGAGGAAATCTGTTTTCTTCTAGAAAGTGTTGGAGTGCCAGTTAATACTTCATTCCCCACTGGGGATGAAATCCAGGGTCTCACATGTGCTAGGCAAGCACTTTATCCCTGAGCTACTTCCCCAAGCCTTCTTCACATTTTATTTTATTTGAGTCAGGGTCTCATTAAGTTGCCCAGGCTGGCCTCTTCATTTTTTGGTACCAGGGATTGAACCCAGAGGCGCTTAACTATTGAGCCACATCCCCAGCCCTTAATTTTTTATTTTGAGATAAGGTCTTGCTGAGTTGCTTAGGGCTTCACTAAATTGCTGAGGCTGTTGCAATCCTCCTGCCTCAGCCTCTTGAGTCGCTGGGATTACAGGCGTGTGCCACTGTACCAGGCTTGGCCTCTTACCTTTTGATCTTTCTGCATGTGTCACCATCCTGGCTACTTTTAATTTTAGGTGTCTCATAAAACATCTTTATTAAACATCTTTAAAACTCACATTTAAGATTCTGTAGCATTAAAGAATGGAGGTCTTTTAAGGATTTACCCTAATTTTCTTTTCCTAAAAAAAAAAAAAAAATGGGCTTAATTAAAACATTATTGTGGCAGGGTGGTGTGCTGGGGATTGAACCTGGACATTACTGTGTGTTTAAGAACAGTGGACATGCTCGCTTTGGCAGCACGAGTACTAAAATTAGAACTATACAGCTGTCTTCCTGCTGGGTATTCATGTGGCTGACAGAGTGGACAGGAATCAGGTGCTCTGTTGCCTTCTTCATATACGGGCACTCACCCGTCCTGTGGGTTCTGCCCTCCTGACACGGTTACCTCCCAAAGGCCGGTCTCTGTAGTGCTTAGGGGATTGGGGTGGCAACAGGTCATTTGCGGGCACGAGCATTTCATCCATAGTATGTTACTAATTCCCTTTTATCAGTTATGTAGCACAGAATTGTGCTCTCCTTGGGCAGTAACATTCCAGTCTCAATGAATTTACGATAGTATTAGACATAAAAAATGAAAAAGGAGAAAGTGAATGTAAAATTAAATCTTGATTTCTTTCCCTAAAGGTTTGGAATTGACTTTCTTCTCTGGTGTTTATGGAACCTGCATTGGTGCTATAAACAGGTTTGGAACAGAAGAGAAAAGCCTCATTGGACTTTCTGGAATCTTCATTGGTATTGGAGAAATTTTAGGTTGGTTTTTTTTTTTTTTTAAGTCTTTGCATTAAAAATACCAAGTGTACTTAAAATAGAAACATTAAGTATACTTCACCTCTGTGTACTTGAATTCTGTTTTCTCTACTTTTACACAAACAGGTGTGTTTTATTTTTCTATTATCAGTATTCTAAGATAAGTAAATTATAAAACATTTGCCAAATAATTCACAGGTTGGAAATCATAAATAAGCAAACGTGGTCTTTCCCAATTTTTCCTCTTAAAATACTTATGCAGAGTGTCTCAGAATCCCTGACCTTCTAGTTCTCTCTAAAACCAGCTGTGTGTCCAGCCATTTGATCCTATTCTGACACTAACTACCTGGAGTGAGCATCAAATTCTTATTGAAGGACAAAATTAACAACAGCTCGAAGATCTCATTGGCCTTATTTTCCATCTAGTATCAGGCAATGCTGCATTCCATGGCATAGAATAAAAGTTCCGGTGGCTGAGCAGAGAAGTTGGTTGTATGGATAGAGATGGGCTGAAAAAGACATTTTAAAATACGTTTCCTCATAAGACAGGGACAGGGAGACAGAACCATAAAAAATAACTGATTGATGTTAACTTCAGGTTGCATCTTATAAGGATTGAAGCAGGAAACTTCATTGTCATATTTGGGAATTTGGCTGTTATCTGATTCTCAGAAGGTCATACAGAGCAAGGAACTTCACCATCAGTGGCTCCACTGTCATTTTCAGTCTGGTCTCTTGGGCCCCAGTACAGGAGCTTAGTCCTAAACAGTGGTCTCCTAAAACATTCTGCTTACGGGTTAGGTCCCACTAATCACCTTCACTAGACTCTGCACTTCCATTTCATTTGGCTACTAGTTTGGAGGTTCTCTACACCTCCCTTTAGGTTTGATCATTTTCTAAAAATACAGAACTCCGGAAAATGCTGTAGTTGATATATGCAATTTTTAGTATTGTAAAGGATACAAATGCACAGCCAGATGATCTGGAACAAGGGTGAGGTCTGAAAGTGGAGGAGACTGTCCCCATAGAGCTTTCCAGCTTGTGGGTGTTCTAGGAAGCTCCCACAGCCCTGTCGAGAGGCTTTTATGGAGATTTAATGTAATCCTAGCAGATTGAACCATTGGCTGTTGGCGAATGAATGCACTCCCTTTCCCCGTTCCCTTCCCTGCTACGGTGGGTGAGAGTCCTGGAAGTTCTAAACCTCTAATGGGGCTCTGTCTTTCTGGCAGCCAGTCCCCATCATGAAGTTGTGTCTAGGACCAACCCTCCTTCCCTAAGAGTTACCTCATTAGTGTAAACTCAAGTGTGGTTGGCAAGGTCTCTTTGTGCATAACAGAAAACACTCCTACCACTAAGTAAATTCCAAGTAATTTAGGATCTCTGAGCCCAGAACTGGAGGCCAAGGCAATGCATATCTTTATTATACAACACCATAATAATTTATTACTCATTCAACTAAGATCTGCTCCCACTTGCAGTGTCTTGGATGTAGTATCAGACATGAGGGACTTACCAGTTTAGCCACTCTTTGTTGTGCATCCACATGTCAACCAAAAGCAAAGCTGCCCACGTGGAGCTGGTGTTCCTGGGGGAGAACACAGCCTGCAAAGAAACAAAACTCACCTTGTCAGTGAGAAGTGCTGTGGGGAAAGCAGACTGGGGACTGTGTTCCCTGCTTTACTGCCTGCACCTGGGCAGGACCGGGAAATGACAGTTGTGTGTGTTGAGAGAACATTTGGAGGACGGGTTGGCAGTGTGCCACTGGGAGGGCAGGGTGAGGAAGGGGGACAAATGCTGTGGGAGTTGGGCTTGGAGCAGTCCACTAAGACCCAGCGTGTTGGTATGCAAGGGAGGTCTCTGAGTGGCAGTGTGTCCAGTGATGCTCGGGGGGCTTGTGGGCTGGAGGGGCATCTTGGGCATGGAGGTGCCACCTCCACCCGCGAGATGTCTAGGGAGGCTGTAGGAGAGGTCATTAAGCCTCTGCCATCCAGTGCCTGTGAAGTAGCTTACTCTTGATGTAGGTAGTCTGCTAGCTTTTTGAAAAAATAATTCCACATTTGCAAGAAATTGCCAAAAATATAAATAGTTCAGAAACCACTGGAATATCCTTTAACAAGATTCACCTTTGACAAGCACTTTACGTTAAAATCATGTATTCTCTCTTCCCAGCTCTTTGTTTTTTTCTTTTTTTCATCCTTTTTAAAAATTTTTACAGTGCTAGGGTTTGAACCCAGGCCTTGCACATACATGCAGAGTTGGCAAGTCTCCAACTCTGAGCTACATCCCCAGCCCTCTCTTACTTTTCTTATGTGTGATTTTGTCTGAGCCCCAGGAGGGTAAGTGTTAGACACACCACAACAGTTTGTCCCTGGTATTCAGTGTGTGTTTCCTGAACAGACAGGGGTTCTCTCTCATCACCACAGTACAGCTGCTGGCTGTGGAATTTTTCTGTGTTAGGATAATCTGGGCTAATATCCTTGAGCATTACTGGAGTCCTTGAGGAGTGAGGGCCTGGGCCACAGGGTCCCAACAGACTGCCACATGTCCCAGTATGCCAGTCAAAGAGATGAGCAACAGTGGTAAGGGGCAGGAAAAGAGTTTTCAGTCAACATGGCCACACCAGGAAGAGCAGAGGTAGGRTACAGACACCAAAGACCTGTCCTCAAAGGACTTACAGAAACTTTGTGGTTTTATACAGCAGAGAGCAAGGCAAGGGCTGGAAGATTGTGTAGCTGTCAAAGTAGATCATGGAGCCAGGCGAGGTCTGGTTGACCAATATCTCAGGACGGGTTCTTTGAGGCTCTGGGAATGTCTTCAGCCAGTGCGTGAGTGGGTGGTTTGACTCACATTGTGAGAAGGTTATACCTGCCAGGGGGGGCGGCTTTGGCTTGCTGCCACTTGGGGGGTGATGTCATTGAGGGGTGATCTGTTCTGAGAGGCTCTCAGCTGTTTGGGGATGGTTTCCGCCTCTTGTCATGAAGATGCTCATCAGCCAGACCTGTTTCTGAAGTCCAAGGGAACTGCAGAAGAGTGGCTCAGAGGGAAGAGGGCCAGAAAGGCCAGTGGAGCCAGAGGGGCAGCATGGAGTTGTGGGGTCTGAGGCAGGGCTGTCCCGCAGAGCATTTCCCTTCCTTGCGTAGGTTAGCCCAGGATTAGGGTTTGTGTTGGGCTTTTGTGTCTTCTGCTAACCGGGACCATGTTTGTCTTACCATGCTGACATGTTGAGGCATTTCTCCTTTCTGAGGATGCTGTGGTCTTCTGTGTGCATCGCAGGCCTCCTCATGGTCACGGAGGCTGTGCGTTCTCAGGGGGAGTGCTGCCRGGTGGTGCGGGGTTTGTCCCGCGACTGGCCTTCTAGAGACGCACAAGGCCCATCCACCCTTTAGTTTTTAGATTTASATCTCCGATTTATTTGGGATTTGTTCTTGGGCATCTTTATTTTTTTCCAGATGGCTACGGTGCCATGTATTAAGAGCACTGGCCTTGTCCAGCGATCTGACATATGCTTCGTCACAGATGGGGATTTTGTTTGTGACTGATCCTATTTCTGGACTTTCYAGGAGTCTAGTGCACTGATAAGTCTCCTGAGGTATAGTGCTGGTTTTTTGGTACTGGGTATTGAACACTTCATTACATGTGTGCAATGTGTAGTGTTTTGTCACCTGCGGCCTGTATGGGGAGAGAGTAGTAACCCTCAGAGGTGTGCACCAGCTGGAAATGAAAGGCTGAAAAGTAATACCAAGAAATAAAGCAAAAGACAGAAAATATTTTTATTGAAAGCAGGGACTTAATGGGTGGAAAAGACCTGATGGGACTGATCCTAACAAAGGGGAAAAGCTCACGAATTCTTTATTTATAGTGAAACACACCAGAGGAGTTTTTTGTGAGGAAGGGTCTTCAGAGGAGAGGTGTAGGGAAGCTGGCCTGATTGTGGAAAACCACTGGCGCAGTAATTCTTCCTCAGGCAGCTGGTGCCACAAGGCTAGTTAGGCACACAGGTATCTCTTTCACCCCAGAGTAGTGGGCATCTGAATTCAAAGCTGTAGAACCCACAAATTCCACTCCAGGCATGGACTCTGCCCCAGTAACAGCAACCACCTGCAAGTGGGTGTGTCTGTCAGCACCATTTTACTGAGAGACCCAAAAGGTCCACCTAGCTGTCCAAGGCTGTGGAGTTCAAAGCAGTGATTCATTTGCTGCTTCTAGCTGTGTTCAGGTCAGGGTAGCTGACATATACATCACCTCAAATATTTACCATTTCTTTGTATTAGGAATCTGTATTCAAAATCCTCTCTAGCAGCTATTTTGTTTTGGTAGTTGGTGTTTGGTAGTCCTCTTTGCCTGCAGGTGCTGAAGGGTTGGGTTTGGGGGAAGACACTGGACATTTGAGAACATGTATTCCATGGCTTCTGGATTCTGACACGACTAGTCACTTGATGTGTTGGTAATGTCAGTAACATTTCTGCCACCTTAATTTGTAGGTGGAAGCCTCTTTGGCCTGCTGAGCAAGAATAATCGTTTTGGTAGAAATCCAGTTGTGCTTTTGGGCATCCTGGTGCACTTTATAGCTTTTTATTTAATATTTCTAAACATGCCTGGAGACGCCCCAATTGCCCCTGTGGAGGGAACAAACAGCAATGCTTACATCAGGTCCAGGTATGTAACTACTATTGCTTGGTGATTTGAGGGCAGTGGGAGGGAAGGGATGGATAGACACTTGAAACGGACACTTAGCCCTCTTCAGAACTTGTTATCTTTGTGAGGTCAGCTGCCATGGCCAGAATGAGTTTGAGTAGGAATCCATAGAGGATCATAAGTTATTTTTGCAATGGTTGCTTTTAACCTTTACCCCCCAATAAATCTTCTTTATCTGTGAGGGAGCATAGAAATGTCTGATCTGAATTTTATCTCTGCATTTTGAGCAGTGAAATACCTCAAAGTTAGGGCCTGGAGGAAAAATAAAGAGCAGTGAGGGAGTCTATGAGCTGGGTGGGCTATCGTGTTTTTCAGAGTGATCTGTGACAGTTTTGAGGTTATCCGTGGCCTGCACTTCAACTCTTTTTTGTTTTTCCCTTGCAAGGCCTGGTCTGTGCAAGGCAAGTGCCCTACCACTGAACTGACTTCCAGTCACTGCATTCAGCTCTTAATTCGTTATAAATGCAGTTATTGATGTCTAGATCCCCAAATCCAAAGGGAGCCTAGCCTAAAAAAAGTATTTCCTTTCTAAATCAGTAATAGAACCAGGTTTGCTAGAATGTGAAGGGATGCAAGTTTGAGCATAACTTCTTACTGTAGGGGCTGGAGATGTGGCTCAGCGGTAGCGCACTCGCCTGGCATGTGTGCGGCCAGGGTTCGATCCTCAGCACCACATACAAACAAAGATGTTGTGTCCGCCGAAAACTAAAAAATAAATATTAAAATTCTCTCTCTCTCTCCAAAAAAAAAAGGGGGGGGGGGAAATAACTTCTTACTGTATAAATTCTAACATAGGGGCTGGTGTGCCGCTCATGGTAGAGGTTTGCCTAGTATGTGTGAGGCCCTGGGTTCCATCCCTATTACTGCAAAAAAAAAAAAAAAAAGAGAGAGAGAGAGAGAGAGAGAGAAAGAGACCTTATAAGTTCTGATATTTTTCATTCTTGTTTCTGTGTTTTTAAAACTTGAAGATTAAATGCTTTTTTGGGTGGGTTGCTTTTAGAATTTAAGTGGCTTTAGCAATGTTGATACTACTTATACTAAATTTATTTTTTTCAGCAAAGAAGTTGCCATTCTCTGCAGTTTTCTTTTGGGTCTTGGGGACAGCTGCTTCAACACCCAGCTGCTTAGCATCTTAGGCTTTCTCTATTCTGAAGACAGTGCACCGGCCTTTGCCATCTTTAAGTTTGTTCAGGTAACCCCTTGGCCCTTTTCCTTTAAGCTTCCCCTGGTTTGCTGTGGTTACTAGCTTGTGGTTTTTAAGTGAAAACCGTGGATATCCTTTAAAAGGATTTGCGTGGAAGTGGGAAGCAGTGAGCAGCACGACTCCCTGACTGGCCAAGAGATTTCATGTTCTGGTTTACTGCTTGGATTGGAGGTTCCCATCCCTGGAGCCAGAACCTCACTTGCACACCTTGGACACCTTGCAGACAGGGTCCTTTTTACTCTGCACAGAGCTGTTTTAACAGCAGAGACGGCTTCCCGTGATGTGACCCACTCTCGGGGGGCCGGGGGTGAGTTAGAAACTGCGAGAAGGAGGGCAAGATCTGCCAGTCACAGACATCCCTTGGGTCTGCAGGGTGGGGCTGATTGTGAGGCTGGGCAGGCCTCTGTATGCCTGTGTAATTTGTCTTGTTTTTCTCGTAGTCCATCTGTGCGGCTGTGGCCTTTTTCTACAGCAACTACCTTCTCCTTCACTGGCAGCTCCTGGTCATGGTGGTATTTGGGTTTTTTGGAACTATTTCATTCTTCACTGTGGAATGGGAYGCTGCTGCCATTGTGGCCCGGGGCTCTGACTACCGAAGTATCTGATGAGGTACCCGTGGGAGGCTGCACAGCTGGTGCTCCAGAGCACAGTTGAAGTGACTTCTGTTGTCCTCATAGTACAGTGAATGATGTTGAGTGTGGAGAATCAAAGAGTTCAGACTTGAATCAGCCAGAGCTGGATTAAAGTTTACAGATATTAGTTATTTAAAACCAGTGTAATAAGGGAAATCTATCRGTTATAATTGTTCAGCGATACTGCTTTCCGTTTATCTATCTCAAGCTCCTTACAATCACATTATAGAGTGTGAATGTATTCTTCTGCCTCGAGAATTCCAGGCCATATGTCGTGTAAGGATTCTTGCTGGGTCTGGAGTGTGTTTTACTACATAGTAACAGAAGCATATGCCTCTCCACATGTGTATCTGGAATGACATTCAAATAGCGATGTGCTGACATTTAGTCTAACTTTGAAAAGGTTTTTCCTCGTTTCTTTGATAGATTTTCTTACCTCATAGTTCATACCAAGGAGTGGCCAATTAAGTATAAAATGAGGAAAAATTATCTCAAGTCTTTAAACAAGAATATAACATCACAGCAAACAAAACCATGTTTAGAAGAGTAAACACATTTACTAGGGGAGGACTTTTGCTAGTAATTTTCCTGAAAGATACAATGCAAGAAAGAAAGAAAAACTAGAGGGAGGTCTGAGCCGGGGGGCAGGATGTTGTCACTTAAGTGTGATCTTATAGCAGATGCCATTCAGTCTGGGAGTGGAATGTAACTATATAGGAAAATGTTTAAGTGGAAATGTTAACTTTCCTCTATAAGAACTCGCTTAAAATTTTTATAATTGAGATGTAATTCAGAAATGATAAAATTCATCATTTTAAAATGTGCAATTTAATGTGCTTTTTTAAAAAGTGTATTTGGTAACCATCACCATTATCGAGAACATTTTCCTCACCCCAAAAAGAAGCCCCCCACCTGTCAGGCACTTCCCTTCTCTGGCTGGCAGCCACTCAGTGCCTTCTGTCTGTGCCCTTGCCTGTTCTGGAGACTTCCTGGAGATGGGAGAGCTCGCGTTCAGTGTGATGCTTACCTGTACCAATGAAGAGCTGTACGACAAGTGAATCCAGCCCAGAGGACAAACAATACCTTGTTTTCTTTTTTTTTTTTAATATTCTCTGTCCTTTTTTTTTTTTAAAGAGAGAGGGAGAGAGAGAGAGAATTTTTTTAATATTTATTTTTCAGTTCTCGGCAGACACAACATCTTTGTTTGTATGTGGTGCTGAGAATCGAACCTGGGCCGCACACATGCCAGGCGAGCGTGCTACCACTTGAGCCACATCCCCAGCTCACAATACCTTGTTTCCATTATTTTTTTTTAAACCTGCCAGAAATTTAGAAATTTTATTGTTGGTTTGAAAAATCTGAAGAAGTTCCACGTGTTTGGTGACAGCAGCAGGGAGTCGGAGACCCTGCAATTAGGTGAACTTCTGGGAGAAGTCTCCTGGTGGAGCGCTAGCTCTTGGGCTCCAGGTTGTGAGGCTGCTCTTCTTGTAGTTGACCTACTCTCCCTTGGTTTAGTTGACCCTGTGGAAAAACTGTGTTGTCAATGCTGTTTCTTTCAGACTTAAGACAAACGATCTGTTTTCTTTCTAAGCTCAGTATTATTTTAGTTTTCTAATGCAATATAATAAATTACCCCAAAAATTCGGCGCCTACAGTAACACACACCTATTATCCCACGGTTTGTGAGTCTGAGGGTTCTGAGCAGGTCCCTGGTTCCCTTGCCATGGAAGTCTGGAAGCTGCCTGGYCCCTGGGGGAGGTGCCCAGCTGGCTCAGGCAGGCCAGCAGGAGTCAGTTCTTCACCACCTCCTGGACCGAGGTCTCTGGTTTCATGTGTCTGTTGGCTGAGACCATCTTCCTTCTGTGGAGCTGTCCTTGGGGCAGCTCACCATATGACAGTCACCCTTGCTACAGAAGACCAGAGCCAGAGGGAGCAAGGCGGAAGTCTCGCCCTCCTCCCTAGCTCTGTCTCCTACATTCCTTTGGCAGGTTCCCAGGCCCAAGGGGAGAGGGTTACACAGAGCTGAGTGCAGGGGCTGGGTTGTTGGGGCCAGGCTGCTGGTCACAGGAGCCTTTCATGTAGGGGCATTCTCAAGCCCCTCCTCTCCCAGGCTCTTGCCCTGTTGGCTCCTAGTGGAATTGCAAGGCTGTGCTGGCGGAGAGCAGGGAGCAGGCTCTGTGAGCAGCTTGTTGAACCCAGGGAAGCCGTGCCTCACCACTTGTAGGGTCCCTAGTGTTGGTTGCCCCAGAAGTGAAGTGAGTGCCCACTTCCCCGGCTGCTCCCTGCTGTGTGCTGTGCTGCTCACTTTAAGTTCTGTACTCCTGTTATTTTTTTTTKGGGGGGGGGGATGAGGGTTGTTTTGTTTTTACTCAGTTTTGTGTATCTATAGTGTGAATAAATTGGGGACTCTTTAGATGACCTAATAACACGAAGGCCATCTTTTAAATTCTCAGCATTAGTTATTTACAAATGAAATGTGACAATGAAATAAAGAGTTTAATTTTTTAAGTGCTTGTCTTATATATTCTGTCAATGATTTTATCTCCATGCTTTAGCTTTGCCTTGCATGGGGGTGTGTATATGGGTGTGCTGCTGTTACTACAGATTCATGTCCCATATGCTGACATTTGGCTCAGACCTGGATCGACTTTTATTTGTTTAATTATTTACATTTTGCTGTTAGAGGGGTAACCCAGAGCCTCCTGCATGCTAAGCATGTGCGTTACACACTGTTATGCCCCCAGCTTAAAACTGTTATTGAACCATGAATGTTTTTCTCAGAGTTTGAAGATGCCCCCCCCCGCCCCCGCTGCCCTCCAGAATTTTCCACACCCAGAAACTTGAAAACCTTTAAACATGGACTCTGGCTTTTCATATACAGGTTTTCTTTCCTGATGTATTTGTTGACCCACCCACTGTAAATCTATAGGGGGAGTCTGTAAGTTCTCAAAAACAAGTTCCAATTAATAGTTAAAACATCCGAGTCCCCACCAGCAGATGAGAGGTAAAGGTGTGTGATATGTGCAGACAAGCAGATGTCATTCATCTGTGTTAGCTTTTTTGCAACTGTGACGAAATTACCTGACAAACAACTTAGAGAGGAAAGATTTCTTTTGGCCTGTGGTTTCCATCCAAGGTTGGCTGCCTCCAGAGCAGAAATGTCATGACCCGAGGGTTCAACTGAGGAAATCCACTCAGCTCCTGGCAGCTGTGAAACTGTGAGGAAGGGTCAGGGGACAAGATGTAGTCCCCAAAGGTACYGCCTTGGTGACCACTTCCTCCACCCCTGCTCCTGCTGCCTCGCTTCCCCACTTTGCAGTAGTCCATTCCAGTTATTAAACCATCAGATGGGTTAATTCACTGATGAGGTTATAATCTACGTGATCCAATCATCCCAAAAACCCAACCCCTGGACATTGCTGCCTTGGGGGCCCAAGTCTTCACCCATCATCTTTTGTTCTAGGTCCACATTACAAGGTCATCCTTAAAAAGGAACTTCTGTCATGTGCCATAGATAGGCTTTGGGGTATTATGTGAAGTGAAATAAGTCATAAAAAGAAATACTGGCTCCACTTAGGTGAGGCCCCTGGTAGTCGAATTTTGTATCTTACCAATTTAAAATATTTTGGAAAGTTACGTGAGTGTTGTGTCTCGGAGACCTGAGGACCATCCCTGAACAGCCCTGGGCATGTAGTTGTAATCGTGGCTTAAGGTTTATTATAGTGACATGGCTGGGATACACAGCCAGGTCCTGGGGAACCTCTGGAGGAGCCTCGTGTGGGCTTTCTTGGGCTGTCCATCCTGGGAGCATGCTGGCCTGCTTGTCCTCCGGCTGTGAAGACAGCAGTGAGCATGGTGATCCTACAGCACTGATGTTTTCACTGAGGTCTGGTCACATGGGAAGCCTGTACGGCTTCTGCCCAAATTCCACACTCCCAGAAGGAAAGCAGGTCTCTGTGGCAGAAGCCACTCTATTCCCACTGTTCTGGGAACTGGACACGCTCAGAGGCCAGCTAAGGGCCAGCTGGGAAGGAGAGCAGTCTGGTCCTCCTCTGTACAGTGATAAGCAGGCTCAGGTAGGAGGCTTCCACAAGGGTTGGCATGTGCCTTCCAACCATCCTGTGGTGCTGGTTTTTTGTTGTTTGTTGTTTTTTGGGTTTTTTTGGCGGTGTTGGGGATTGAACCCAGGGCCTTGTGCATGCGAGGCAAGCCCTCTACCAACTGAGCTGTATCTCCAGCCCCTCCGGGTTCATTTTTGCTGGCCATTTCCTTTAGGGCTATAGTCCTTAGGGTCTGACCATTGACTTTAACTGATAAGACTCCATTTTGGGGAACCACAGAATCTAAAACCTGTTTGTAGGTACTCCTCCTTGGAACAAACATCAAGGATTTGAGTGATTGGCAATGGAACATGTGTATCCTTTATTTTCTCAAATTAGATTTACTGTGGAACTGAAAAAAAATTCTTTGTAGTATGGCTAAGTGTCCAGTAGTGTTACTTTTGATCCTCCAAGAAAATAGAAGCCTTGGGCAAATGGGATCATTCTGTCCACATAGTAGGGGTAAATGTCCTACTGAGGGCCTTTGCTGTTTATCTAAAAGTGAAATGAAGATGGATACTGATAAGAAAATTTTCAAAAGTCAATGTCTCATTCAAATGTCACATAACTACTGTGGCTTGTTTGTATTCCTTTGCTTTGGTTTCCAGCTTGTAAAATAGACAACCCTCTTCTCTCTTAAGAAATATTTTTTTGTTTGTTTCTGAGGGGCTAGGAACCCAGGGTGGGTGCTCTACCCCTGAGCTCCATCCCCAGCCCAGTTCWAGAAAGTTTATTGGTGTCATCTGAGGCCAACAAACTAGAATGTTCCAGTGGCTCTGGACAGCAGCAGGATGTGCTTTGAGCACCTCTGTGGCATCTGGTAATGATTGTTTTCCAAACCTCGATGAAGGCTGAAAGGTCTCCTGGTCTTGTCAAAGGAGCTCTGCCCTGATGCTGTGAACTGAGAGCTGATGGGCAGGAAGAGCTGGTTGCAGCTGGAGGAAGGTCGCCCAGGAGGCTCCTGGTGCGTCCCATTTTCGCTTCATTTCAGCTCGTAGACCTTTCTTCTCTCCTTCAGTCGCTGTCAGGTAGCCCCACTCTTCCCTATTTTTTGTTTACATCCTAAGCCTGCTCGACTTCTTTTTTATTGGTTTGGTTCTTTCAGTTTTATGTTTTGAAAGGGATCCTCTGGAATAATTGTCACATGAACTGAAAACCAAGTCTTGATGACTCATTGTAGACTGAGGAGACTGTGYCTCTCTTTTGCAGGGGGTGGGTAGGGTGCTGTTCACAACCAGATGAACTAATTCAATGAAAAAGGAGCATAGCCAACATTTTCAGTTGGCATGTGGGCAAGTCGTCTGTGCAAACAATGGTGCTGTGGGAGGGAGCCGGCAAGGGTGCCAGGGCTGGCATTGCTCCCGCAGGTAGACTCTGTGCCTGTGGGATTCTGCAGGGCATGCTTTGCAGCCAGAGCGTGCGTAACTGAAAGACATCACCTTGGCATCAGCAAACCCTTTTGACTTAGGGAACATTTAGGCCCATCCCATTGTTTTGCAGGATGCAGGGCCGTGTGTTGGTTTACAGTTAGTTTTTTTTTCCTAAACAAGCATCCCTTTCATTCCTTTCTGGGTCAGCATAACCCCTGATACTAGAGAAAGTGAATGGCCCGATGGGGACATGCTTATTTATGTCTGTTTATATTAAATATTTTTTWAAATATATTTTATTTTAAAGAGAGAGAATATTTTTAATATTTATTTTTTAGTTTTTGGCAGACACAACATTTTTGTATGTGGTGCTGAGGATCGAACCTGGGCTGCACGCTGCATGCCAGGCAAGYGCGCTACCACTTGAGCCACATCCCAAGCCCATATTAAATATTTAAATATGCCAGATGAGCTGGCGCACATTCAGTGTCACCGTGCCCTCAGAGGTCTGCTTGGTAAGGATGATTTTCTTCGCCTGCAGACTTTGCTTAGGAATCTTGAGTGTTTGGCTCTCTATCACATTTTTGCAAATAGTATAAGCGAGGTACCATTATTACACTCATTTTA